TTGAAAATACCTCAAAAAATCTCATTATTTTGACGCCGTTGATAAAAGTTTTAAAACATTTTACGCAGACCTTTTGGGATTAAATTCTTCTACCAGCTGACGAGGTTTTTTAGAAAAAAATATTTTTAAAAACAAATGTTATTTATTAAAAATCTAAATTTTTGGAGGTATTTTTTCAAATACGACCAGCTCACATAAATCTAATTCATATTATTTTCCCGAAATATTTTGGCGGCATTCTTAAGATATAATAAATTTTATATTTCCGATGGAAAAAACAGCGCCGATTTTATTTTTATTTTTTTGTATGGACATGCACCCTAGCGTACATGTATGTATGTATTTATATGCATGTGTTTTATGTATATACTAGTTCCAATAAATATGTATGTATGTATGTATAGTGCATGTGTGTTGTTGTTTCCATGTTTTGTTACTTTTATGTTGTAGTTTTACGCTGCAAATCCTTCCGTAACTTTTATCCTATTGTACCTACATACATACATAAGTATGTATGTATGCAAGCATGTCCAGTTGCAATCAAGTATTTTAGTGCAGTATTTCTAGCTACATATTGTAGATTTGTATACGTAGCTGTTTTTACAAATTTGCAAAGCTATATTAATATAGAATGGCCCTATCTCACATCGCCGCCGAAATGCAAAAAAACCGTAACTAACTAATTTTTTTTATTGCATAAAACGGTGTGGGGACTTATAATTCGATGAAATGCATCATAATTAATCAAAAATTGAATTATGGATATTTAGTTAGTTTCGGATTTTTGTATTTCCGCTACGATATGAGATAGGGCCGTTCTTTCAAACTATTTGAGTATTCAGTTCTCAAAATGTTTATATTATTTTTCTCTTAAAAGCTTTTCCTATATGTATGTATTGCCAAAAATATATGCACTTTTTTCGAATGTGAGCTGTTAGACACGTTGGTATTGAAGATTTATTCTGTAAAAAAATGTGTTTTATAAATATCAGGACGGTTAGTCACAATTGGGATGCATGTCAGAATATTTTATATAATTTGCGTACTTTTCAATCAACTTTTTTATTAGTAGTCAGAAGTTTTAGAGGTTATATTAGTTTGTTGGTTCGAAAATATTTTTAATTGCATAAATTTTTTCAATTGTCCTACAAAAAATTTTTTTCCAACAAAATTAGAGCAATCACAACTAGTTAAGTACAATTCTTATTAGGGGTATTATAGTTAAATTATAACTCCAACTTTATTTATATTTATGTACTTATTTATGCATTTAAGCTTTTTGGTTCCATGATAAATAAGTGTTAGGCTACTAATACGTGGGAAATCAGCGAGTGTCACCTTACCAAGGCATTTTCAGTTGCCGTACCCTGTCAAATCAACAACGAGTGTTCTTAGGCCCGCCCGTACAAGGATAGGCGGTCGCTCAGAGTGTCATTGAAAGGAAAATTAAAATCTCTTGGATACCTTCAATGAAAATTACTATACAATAAGAAGCTAAGATGGACTAAAACTTTGTAACTGCTCGGGGAAAGCTTGAAATTATTAAGCGAACCCGTTCACAGCAAGTGGGTCAATCGTCCATGGATAAATTTCACTTGACTTATCTGCACTTTCATGGCTTAAGGGAAGAGCGCATGCCTACATTTTTTTGATAGCCACTTAAATTTGAGTGACTAAAAGAAAAAAACAATTTTTACTGATGATAAATATTTGACATTGACGGCCCTGGTCTTGGCATGACAAAATGATAGCCAATAACGCAAAACACCATTTATGTATATTAATCCTTAGAGAATATTTTCATTCGATTTATTTAACGAATAACTTCAATTGGTGGCAATATTTCAGCCTGTAAGGAAAGATTTGAGATAAACATAGTCCAGTGTAGACAATGCTTTATGGAAACATCTGGTGCCCACATCCACTATAAGTAAAGTACATACATACATTCCTCGTCAGTTGAATAGCGCATTCTTTCAATCCTTAGTATTTACAGTTTTCCTTTTGTTTATTAAATATTCATTAATTTTCCAAATTTTGTACAAATTAAAAAAAAACTTAAAAAGAGGGGCGCGCTATTCTAATGACCAACAGTGAATTAGGTAAGAACGGTGAATTAGTAATAATTCCATAAAAAGTATGCTCGACAAAATTTGTATCAACTCTATTTTGCAAAATCGAATGGGCTACAAAACTGCATATCCGAAATTTTTAAAAAATATTATTAACTTATTCACTGCAGGTCATTACGATAGCGCACCCATTTGTTGCATTTTTTTTTTAAATTTCGCCTTATCGGATTTTCGGTGCTTCGTTTGGACTTAGCAAATTTTCCTTTCATGGAATATAAACGAGAAAAAATTAAACAAGTGCCTTTATCCTTTTCGAAACAATGCATTTTGCTATTTAAATGACTAGGAGAGTATATATGTGTGTATGTATACCGAACTTTGTTGTAATCGCTGCAATTAGTGAGCAGGTTTTTTCGTTATCAGAAATATTAGGCCCGTGCCCATCTCTACATACAATAGGCAATAAAAAAATGTTGCTCATACGCCACGTATTACAAGTGAAGGAAAGTTAAGAAAATTTAGAAAACTAGTATTTTAACTGCAAATTCGTATTGCTCTTTTTATATAATTACTAAAAGAAATATTCATAAAAAGTTTTCTTGCCCTTCCATTTAAATGCCAGCTCGGCCTATAGCGTTTTGTATTTTTAACAGATGACATTAGGCTGATAATATTTGTTGAACAAAGTCATACTCCAGCACATGGGAGTGTTTTCACTTAAACACAAAGCAGTCATAAAGTTTCTAGTTTTTTTTAATTCTTTTTAAAACCAAGATCAGTAGATCGTTTCTGTAACAATTCTCTACCAAGTCGAGTTAAAATATGAATTCGCCGCCCTGTGCTCTACTGCTAAAGAGTAGTAGAGAATGACGTATATTCTCTACCAGTACCGAAATAATCGGTATAGAAAAGTTACAGAAACGTGCTACTGGAGACATTTTGTGGTTCGCACACTACTAATTTTTGATAAAGATATTTTTTTCTCAAATAAATCAAAATTATATCTCTGCGGTATTTTCTCCGTGCGAACTCAGACGCACTGGACCATAACCAAAGCTTGTGGTCTGTATGATGTCCTCTTTACGAAAAATACCATGGTTATTCTGGTTGCAGAAAAATTTTGAATGTGTTGCCTCAGTACTTAAATTCAATTATTTATTAATTAAAGATATCTTAGAAGAAAGGTTATTTTCGAAAGGCAATATGAGTTGTGTTTTCAGCTATGTATACATATTAAATTCATAAGAAAAAAAACAACTTATTCATAATGTGAATGTTATTATTAGAGCTGTAGTCCGCAGTTTTGACTATTCGAATAATCTGAATATTAGAATATATGAATAAAAAAATAACCGGGTATCCGAATACGGTCTTGATATTTAGATATCTGAATTTAAAAATTAACAATCAAATAACGATCACTTGTGTAGTATTAATGAAGTGTTCTATTATTATTTTTTCAGCCCGATAGATTGAGTAATTTTGAGAAAAATATTATGTATCTACTCAAATATTGTTTAGAATATCCGGATATCTGGATAACCAGATCCAATTCCATATTTATATAAATGAGCTTAAAATCATTTGAGAATTTTTTTTTAAATATTCATGTAATACATATTAAACTAAATAATTTAAATAGCCTCCCTTAAACGTAAATATTTATGTATAACTACTACATTTTTAAAAGCAAACATGCATTAAATATAGGGATGTGCGATTAATCGATTTAGTAATTTTTTAATTATTCATAACCCTGATTAATCAAAAAAACGAGATTAATCAGATCCGGAGAAATTACTGTTTACTCATAA